TTGGAAGAGAAAGGACAGTTGCATACATGTTTCAGAGCCAGAGACTGGGTAGAGCACAAATCCTTGGTAGCCAAACATATCCCATATCCATAAAGGCCATAACTATGTCTCCATGAACTATTTTGTTCTGTTTGAGCCATCTGTAAAATGTTAGCTCTTGAATCATTCACATGTGGTAAATGTCTGATATGGGAAAGGAAAAGCATTGTAATAACCTTTGCTTTATGGAGCTGTTTGGAAGATCTGCAAGTCCAGGAAGGGATCCTTGCATTTCCCTTTCAGCTGAGAATGTCATAATAGGGGCAGAAGAGAGGATGTTCACATCATCTACTCTGCTGTAGGTAACGGGAACTTAACGTTTCCAGGGAACTGCAAAAACATGGATCTTGGCTGATCATAGTAAGAATTAATATTTAACTCAACTTGGACATTGTATTAATCATGTGTATATATTGCATTTTATATTCATCCATCATACTGTCACAGCAGTACCTAATAGATATTCTTCATGAGCTCAGGAAAACAGCTCTAGCTTGAAAGGAAGCAGAAATGTAGAATATGCCTTTATTTCAACTTTTGACTAAAACTATTTATAATCTTGGAGATATAATTACTTTTCTCTCAGTGAATAAATAGCTGCTTAAATACCGAAACCATTGTTTGCATCAAATCATCAGCTACTGCAAAAATTGGTGTGACTTCAGTGTCTCCTGCTAACATACACAGTTTGCTGTTATCTGACTCTCTGGGCCATTGAATGGAGTCCTGCTGAGCAGTGGGCAGCCAGCTGTGTGCTCCTCTGCCTCACTCTCCATCAGCAAAATTATCACCCATGTTCTGATTGCGGGACCTCGCTGCTGTTAACAGGGGAGGGGCAGGAAGAACCCAGCTCAACTCCCTGAATACAGCAGGAGTCATGGCAGCAGCACCTAGCAAAAAAATATGCATATGATCTTTTGACATGTAAGTGGAGGAAAATTGCTGCTGAATCACTGGGAGGGAAGAAATATGAGAGCTTACGGTGTCATTTTTACAGGCATAATTTTTACTCTAATGGCCTTTAACAGCATGTACAAGCCAGCGTAACGCTGTCACTTGCAGCAGAGATAGGAGTACAGAAATGTAATGACTTGAGCTGCTTGGAAGAATTGTTTTCCTCCTGTAGCTAATTAGCAGTGTGTCATGGTTTTCTGTTTGCTGATTCAACAGCTGGAATGGTAGCTGGTGTCCTGGCTTTTCTCTCCATTTGTTTGTTGAATTTCTCCTTCTGCCCTTTCCACAAATAAATGCGGCCTCTTGGGGCTTGCAGGAACTTGCTATCAGGAGTGTGACAGGAATCCTTTGATGTCCAGCACTGCGTAGCACTTTGCAGTAGGTGTCTCTCAGATAGTAAATAAACAGATATGGGCTGTAAATAAATAGATAGGGCTGACAGCAGCAGGACTAGGGGAAATGGATCCAAGTTGAAGGAGGGAAGATTTAGGTTGGATGTTAGGGGGAAATTCTTTACAAGGAGAGTGGTTAGGCCCTGGAACGGGCTGCCCAGGGAGGTTGTGGATGCCCCGTCCTTGGACGTGTTCAAGGCCAGGTTGGATGGGGTCCTGGGCAACCTGATCTAAATGTGGATGTTTGGTGGCCCTGCCAGGCAGGGGGGTTGGAACTACGTGATCCTTGGGGTCCCTTCCAACCCGGGTGATTCTGTGATTCTGTGATTCTGTGTGATATGCCAGGTAGATCTCCCTTGGGTCTAGAGTTGGAGGAGCAGTTGCACATAATGCCAAGAGAAGCACCATCTGTCTGAATAAGCAGTCAAATATGTTACTGAAAATACCTGTTTGAATTCAAAGGTCAGTTTATTTCCTTGGGGAAGGAAACTGAAGAACATGAGAAATCTGAACTCGATAATCTCTAGTAATAGAAGGCGAGGTTACACGTGCAGTCTAAGGTGGCTAATTAGCACAGGAAGAAAGAGATATTTATTCTTCCCTTGGAAATCACTAAGAGATTACAACTTGACCGTGGTGACCCTCGTTGTCTGATAGACTTGGAAAAGTTTGGGCTGAAGGGAGCTGTGGAAATCTCTGATCCATCCTTCCTCTTCCAGCTCAAATCTGTCTTCATTTCAATCAGGCTCCCCAGGGCCCTCTCCAGTTGAGTTTGGCATATCTTTGAGGCTGGGTAACCTCGCCTGTTCAAATCTGGACCCACTGAAGGCAAACTAATTAAATCTTGTTACTGTAAATTATTTGGCTTCTCCGTGTGCTGCCAGAGGGATGTGAAGACCATGTCAGTGAACAGAGGAATTGGATCCACTGAATATTATGGATGTTTGCATTGCTCCACGGAGGGAGCATTTCAGACAATGCCCTAAAAGAACATTTACTGTCAAATACACCATTTCTTTGAAAGCAAAATTTTTCAGAGAAACAGACTGATTTTCATGCGCACGTGAAACCAGAAGACAAGGTATAAATGATCAAATTGAAATAGTTGAATGCTTGCTTCAACATTTTTCCCCCGTGACATTTTGAATCTCGCTTCAAAGAGATGATAAAAATGTTTTCTTTTGACACTTTGATTTTATTTCAACCTTCTGTATGGAATATATCTTCTAATTTTATCAAAATAAGGCAATTTAGCTGACTCCACATGACTGTTTTTAATTTCTGAAGAAAATTTGGCAATTTTTAGATTTTTCTGCCTGTTCAATACAAACTTTTCAGTTCCCACTCAGCTCTTGACAAATCATGCACCTCAAGGATGTCACTTCTATACACACACACAAGATGTGCACATGCGTGCTTTTATCTGTCTCTTATTTTAATGGGCTGCTGGCACTTAGAATTTCTCAAAGGCTACTCTTCAGGTTTGTGGTTCAGTTTTAGTGTATGTGTGCTAATTTAATGTCTCCGTTTTATGATTCTACTGACCTCATAAAGCAGACTTAGATGGGCTACATACGCATTATGTCTTGGTGTGAAGCCTGACTTTAAAAAAAATCTCTTTGACAGAGATCATTAATTCCTTTTATAAATAGTTGTTGAAATTATGGCCACTTCTTTAGTGCAGTACTGATATCCTCTGGGTACACAGATGGGCACCACATTGCAGAATGTCTGTGCTTCCAAAATCTGGCAGGTACATCTACTAGACAATAACTATTAATTCATTGGGAAAATACACCCATCAGGCACGGAGCTGAATTCTGTATGGTGTTGTTTAGAAGAGCTGAGAATTCATGGGTGCTTGTGATGTCTCCAATCTACTGGTTGTGCCAAGTGAAAATGCCAGGAGCTCAGCAAGAGGCATCTATAGGGGAAGCAGAGGGGCATTTGTGCAGGAAGCCTTGTTGGCAGAGCGGGGCTGTGCTGAGCACTGCTCTCCCACCTCACAGCAATTCCTGCTTTCTGCAGCAGAACAGCTGTGTTCTGGAGCCAAGCCAGTCGTTTCCAACCAGTAGTTTCCGGCATCTCTAGATGTAGAGATCTGAACTGCAGGATCCCTGGAGACTTTTAAAAGGAAGTTGAAAATGTTCTCAGTTATACATTTAGAGTGAGACTCGTGTTGGTTGTAAAGAGATTTCAATGCTGTTTTATGAGCTGAATTATAAAACATTTTGCAAAAAATGTCTTTTTATAAATATCCTTGTTATGTCTGTGTGGTCAAGAAGAAAAAGTCTGATGTTCTGTAGCTGAGTGTTGACATTACTTCCTATCAATTATTTGGAGCAAGAGATAGTTCAAGGACGTATCTAAACTTGGTTTTTGCATACAGTCCCTTTGCAGACTAACTGTCTTCATAGTCTACCCAGTGAGATTTCTGTTTTGATCTTCCTTACTCTGTCATGTTCAAGTCAAAGAAACTACAAGACTGCTAGAGCAAGGAGCAGGGGATTGAAAGTCAGGACCATTTCTTGGCTCTGCTCTGGTCTCCAGTGTGAGCATGGGTAAGCCTCCAGCCTCCAGCTCCCTCTCTCAGCAGTGGGGATGTCACTGCTGGCCTGCAGTGTGTGCTGAAATTTAAAACTCTGGAGTTTGAAAATATTTCATTAGGAACCTAACACAGGCTGTCAGGTCAGGACCTCCAGAAATTTGCAATAGGATGATATGGTTGCTGATCTGCTGCGCTTGTGGGCATATTTAACTTTGGAGATGGATTTCTGTTTTTAGGCTTGATACACCTTCTTGATGTAGAAATCTAATAACAGGTGGATAGCACAGGAAACAAACAGGCAAGTTGATTTTTTATCTCAGAAGATATTTTCTGTTCAAAGCTGGTTGTTATTTTAAGAACATGAATCTATTGTACTGTGAATGTGTTAGAATAACAGGGAGAAGAAAGGCAAGTGCAGGGCACCTCTCTTGATGGGGAAAAGCCTGGAAGTCATGGGCAGGGCTGAGCTCTTCTTGTGCCTGAAGGTTAAGGCCAGGGAATAGGGAGGAAGAAAAGGAACTCAGTTAGGGAAAGGCACACTTAATTTTACTGACATTTTCACAACTATGAAACACTTTGTTAATTTGCAATAACAACCTTTGCAGCTTTGCCAAAATACATGTCCGTTGCCATTAGAAAAACCCCAACATTTACTCAGTTATGGCTAAATAGAAGGAAGGTGAACTCATTCATTGTGGTAAGGAGGGTGCAGACAGCTTTGTGACTAAGCACAGGAGGAGAGGAGGGCGACATGGGAGGTCACTCCCTTGCTCAGCGACTTCAGACAGACCACAGCATTAATCTGTGCCTCATTTTCCCTAGCTGGAAAATAGAAAATATTGGCTTTTCCCTGCAAGGGACTCTGAGACCTTATTTACTCATGCTGTGAAAATACTCTGAGCTCCTTGTCTGAGAGGAAGTCAATAGAAATAGACTATAGAATCATTTTTTACCACTGTTTCAAAAGGCAGAAGAAACAAGCTGAAGAAAAGGCTTTACAGTTTTATTTTTAGAAGACCTGAAGGTCTCTTTCAGTGATGGTTGTTCTCTTGCTTTCCTCCTTGCAGGTACTATGCTATCTGTTGCCAGCCACTGGTGTACAGGAACAAGATGACTCCGCTGCGTATTGCTGTAATGCTTGGAGGCTGCTGGGTAATCCCGACGTTTATTTCTTTCCTCCCTATCATGCAAGGCTGGAATAGCATTGGCATCATTGATTTGGTGAGTAGCTTAGGAAACATACCGTCTTGGTACTACATATATTCCCTGCTGTATATTCTTTTAAAAAGCAATATTCAAGGAAAAGAAGGCAAGGGAGGCTAAAGGAGAAACCGCTTGTGACTGATTCAGAGGGCCTGCTGAATTCCTGGAAGGTGTCTTTATGGGGATTTACAAGGCTGCTGCCCACTGCCCTGTACCTGATGCAGACCCTTGTCTTCTGAGGCCACAGCAGCCCAGACCCATGCCACCTATGTGGTCCTTCTCCAGTGCATTTGGGCAGATGAAGCTTTAGCATTCTTGGTATAAGAACATATTCTGATGTACAGGTCAGTGAGCGCTGCAAAAAAAGCACAGCATCAAGTGAAGTTATTCCTCTTTGCAATGTCTGGGCTGTCAGGCTGATTTTCAATAGCCAGGTTGAGCCGTGCTCTGGGATGCTGGAGCTGCATCATGGGAAGGTCCTACAGGCCTTGGGGCCAGCAAAGCCCGTGATGTGAGCACAGGCAGGAGGGGCAGCAGCAGGTAAGTGAAGCACTGCATATAGAAGAGGGAAAGGAGGAGAAAGAATAGCAAAGTGATGGTGGAGCTTCCTAGCAAACAGACTGCTGGTATCGGAGGAGCAGCACTGAATTTCTTCCCTTCTTTGTCCTTCTTCCCCCGGCCCCAGATTCAGCAAAGGCAGTTCAACAAGGCTTCCAACTCTACGTACTGCATATTCATGGTCAACAAGCCATACGCCATTACCTGCTCTGTGGTGGCCTTCTACTTTCCCTTCCTGCTGATGGTGCTGGCCTACTATCGCATCTACGTCACTGCCCGGGAGCACGCCCGGCAGATCCGGGTGCTGCAGCGTGCAGGGACCCCTGCTGACAGCCGGCACCAGCCTGACCAGCACAGCACGCATCGCATGAAGACCGAGACCAAAGCTGCCAAGACCCTGTGCATTATCATGGGGTGCTTCTGCCTGTGCTGGGCCCCCTTCTTTGTCACAAACATAGTAGACCCTTTCATAAACTATACGGTGCCGGGGAAGTTGTGGACAGCTTTCCTGTGGCTGGGCTACATCAATTCAGGGTTGAACCCCTTCCTCTATGCCTTCCTGAACAAGTCTTTCAGACGTGCCTTCCTCATCATCCTGTGCTGTGGTGATGAGCGATACCGAAGGCCTTCCATCCTGGGGCAGACAGTCCCCTGTTCCACCACCACAATAAATGGATCAACTCATGTGCTAAGGTGAGTGTTTGTTCCTCAGCTGCTGCAAAATACCTTGAGTCACTGGGAAGAGAACTTCTCATGAGTTTTCTTAAGGGATTATTTTTGCATTGCATTTGAAATAGCTGATGGGTTAACTGTTCAAAAAGGAGGGAGCAGGAGAAGTGCACAGAAGTCCTTAGGATGCTCCAATGACCAGTGTTTGTATGTGCCCAGATACCTACTGGAGTGCACAGTTTCTCCAGAGGCGTGTTCAGGAAACAGCTGGGAGGAGGCAGTAGTTGTGCATGCATGCTGGAAGTCCTATTGCTTTTTCTGAGAAGAACAGTTTGACTGCAGGGGGAGCACCCTGCAGGAGGCTGCCCTCCCTTTGCTCTAGCAGAGGGACCGAGGTGCTCTCATTGCCACTTCTCCTCAGATTCTGCCTTTGTAGACCCACTGGCTGGTGCTGCTGCTCCTGAAGTGATGAAAGGCGAAGGATGTCACTGTGGAATCCTAGGGAGTGTGAAGCCCCCACACCTCACACATCCATCCTTTACATCCACACATGCTGTACATCCACAGTGCTTTTTGCAAGAGGACTGCGTGTGGTTGGGATGGCAGCGGGCTCTGTGCTGGGCCACATCCTCTGCTGCCTTCTCCTCACGGAGCAGTGGAGGCAGAGCACTGAGGAAGGCAGGGAAGAGCAGTTATCTCCAAAATATCAGAATGAGCTCTATTCTCTGAAAGAAAATCTGCAGGTGTTTCTGTGCAACTGCCTGAGAGCTATGTGGTTCTGGTGGTACATGGATTCATGGCTCCATACTTGCAGCTAAGGGCTTGGTAACTGTTTGTGTTCAGAGCTGAACCCATCTGGAGAAAAAATCATACTTCCAGCTGTGCCTGATCTGTTGGTTTGTGTCTGGTTTGCACCCAGCTCCCTTCTGTAAGTTTTGGAAAGAGTCCTGGGCTTTGTAATGGATGGGAAACAGGGCAGGGCTTTCCACAACCCTGAGACAGGCCTCTCATGCTTTTCGCATTATGAAGGACATTAAAAACTGTATATCTTCTGCTGAGTAAAAGCTGTTCAAGGGCTAAGGTCCCAGAGTCCTCTGCCTGTGATGGATGCAGGACACAACGCAATGCTGAGCTTGTGTCAGATGAGGCGAATGCTGCTCAGCTGCAGAAGGAGGCTGGGAGCTGCAGAAACAAGCACTGGGAATGTGGCTGCATGCAGGGAAGAGAAAAGGGCCACCGGTGGTGGAGGGCTCCATGCTGTGACAGCCTCCCCAGGGCACTGGCCATGACCTAAATCCTTCCAGAGTTCAAGGAGTATTTAGAAGATGCTCAGAAATATGGTTTGAGTTTTAGGTGGTCCTATGTGCAGCCAGGAGTTGATTTGATGATCTTTGCGTGTTCTTCCAATTCAGAAAATTCTGAGGTTCCATGATTTTAGTGTTTACCTGGTCAGCCCACTGGCCTAAGCACAGAGAAAGAGCGAGTGGTGTCTGTTTGGGCTAGTAAGTGCTGCAGCAAGATACTTACTGTGAAAGTACTCCCATTTCCAGATCCCCCCTCACGTTTGTAACATGTGGCTCCTGCAAACAAGTCCTCCGTGGAAATAAATAATGAGTCTGAGGACTGCGTGACCAGCTGCCCTGCCTTGCTGCAATCCTGTCAATGTAGATGTGATAAACACTATAAAATGCTCCATGAGAACTATGTATACGGCATCTTCTTTGTTTCTAGCTTGTATGAGTTATTGTACAGATAAGAGTGGGTCCTCTCTCTTCAGCTCACTGCATGCACAAGCTACATTCCCTCCTGCCTTTCTGTGTCACTCCTCTTGCAGGGAAAGGCACCCAGGGCTGCTGAGCAACACTTCTGCACTTCAGCACTTCAGACACAATTACTTTCTATTTTTCTTGGCTTTGTAGCAGATAAGCATGACTTCCTCTTCTGTGTGGATATTGCACTGCTGGTGATGGAGGCGTAGGGATTAAAGGAAAGGTGACTAATTGTAGTTTCTGGGCTTAATCTCACTTGTGGAATTTTGAATTCTTTGGTGCTTCTCTATTAAATGCAGAACAGTTTGGACTCAGCTCAGATGGAAGGCAGGTCCTCTCAAGATGTAACGCACGTTTGCTCTGTAGCTTGGAAATCCTGTGCCCAGTAGCTAAAATACCTTAAACCTATGGGCTAGCCTCATACTAACCCAGCTGTGAAGAAGCTTGGGGGCTGGGCTTGGTTAACACTCTTCCAACCTCAGAGTTGTTTTCTCCTGACTAAGAGCTTCTGCACATGGGGGGAAGTTGTGCAAGAGGGATGCTGCAGCTGTGTCTTGTACCCTGGCAGGAAGAGCACGGAGAGTCCTTGTGCTGAATGCAGGGTGGGCTTCCACTCTAAAGGTCTGCAGTTCTGAGTTAAGCTGACTGAATCTCTCAGCCTCACTGGGATTCAGGAGTGGTGGAACAGGACTTGGATTTCTATCCCCTCCCCACATCCTATCTTGATAATATTTGGACTATTCTTCCTTTGCCTACGACCAACTCACTGGTGCTTCTCCAATTGCCAACACTACACTTGTCTTCATTAAAGGAAAATTTCAGGCTTTCACTCTTGGATGTCTGACCTGTGAGCGCCTTCCAGAGAGGAAACCATTTCTTCATTTTTTTTTTTTCTGATAACTTCAGAGCCAGAATATTCTAATGTTCTCATTTCGGGATTTCTCATGGTTGTATTAAGAATGGGGAAAAAAAAAAAAAAGAGGAGGAGCAGAGCACAATAAACAGCAGTGGTGAGAAGAGGCAGACCCCCTCAGCACACACAGACAGGCCGGTTGGGAGGAGCCCTCATCCTTTCTTTATTTTTCAATTGATCTGTGAAGACTGTGGTGTTCTGGACAAGCAGACAGGGAGAGGCTTTGCACAGCATACCTGGGGCCCATTGCATGTCCAGTGGGATGGGCAGGCTGCCTGCAGCTCAACTGCCTTGCCACAATGGGAGGGAAACCCCAGCAGCCACCCTCTTTTCTCCCTAAACCCTGAAGCAAGAGATGAGGAAAGGATTTCCCATCACCAATTTTGCTCTTGAACTCTACATGAAGTGACGTAGATACCCATTCTTTGAGCAGGGTAAGATGTAGTGCAAAGTATGGTTGGAAGATGTCATGAAGAGGCAGGAGATGAGATTAATTAGAGCTGGATCTGCCTGTACCATAGGCAGGAGTGGTAGTATTAAATATTCATTCAGCTGTGAAGAAGATTTTCGCTTTCCTGTTTTTAAAACTTGCTTTCTGTAAGCAGAGGAACTGCCAGAACACGTACTTTTGGCCCTCTGGATCCACCTATTTCACTTCTGATGCGTACTATCAATTGCAATCTAGGCAGGACACATGCAAATAGCAAATCGAAATCTGCAGGTGTGGATGCTATCTGAAATTCATACCCTATTCAATTTCCAAAGGCTGAGATTGCAACTCGCGTGTCATATGCAGAGGTTTGTTTCTTTGGTTGCAGCACAAATTGTGTAATATATAAATAAGAATTTCTATTTATCTATGAGCATAAATATACAAATGAATTTGCAATTCACAGTCCTAAGAGGCTGTGGTGTGAAATATTGTGCGCGGAAAGGACTTGGGGATCTTTCTGACTAACAAGTGAATTTACAATGAGCTCTCAGCTAACATAATGCAAAAATAAGCAGAATAATTCACAGCAGTACATAAGGCTTTCTGGACAACTCCAGCACATGTTCAGGAGTCCTGTGCACCACCAGAGTGAAAACAAAATGCCATAATTACCTGAAAAATGCTGCTTCCTTTTTTAAACATATTGCTTGTATATCTTTTGTTGTGCATAGACATTTGGTTAAAGCAAAGCAACAAGCTCATACCTTTGGGAATCATTAAACTCTTGTACTGCACAAGGGGATTGGAACACAGCTCAGCAGTGCTTGAATTCTTGGATAAATCACGTTCTGAAATTTTGTCACAGCAGAGAAGGTGAAGTAGAATTGAGCGATGATCAGAGCAGACAAACTCTGGAACGTCTGGGTCAAGTACATCCCTTTGGTATTTGGATTCCCCATCTCCGTCCAGAGGTGCAATGTGCAGCACAGAGCAGGGTTGATCTCTCCTGGGAGAGCTATAGCGAGTGGTTTATTTACTCATTTTCCAGCACAAAGAGGCCTTCTCAGACAGGGCTGATGCCAATGTCATTTCTCCAAACTAAAGCAAATCCCGATTTTCCTTTTAGAAGAGCCAAGAGAAACAAGATAAGGGGGGAAGAAAAGCAGCGTGCAGCTTTGGGGACTGGAATTTCATTGTCCTCATAAATACAGAATTAATAAGTAACCCAATCAAACACACTCATGTCAGCACTCTGAAGGTGCACAAGGCACGGGGAGAAGAGCACAGTAAATCACTGCGCAGCTAGCACTCAGTGCTGGAGCATGGCTGCGGAGCCTTATTGGCCCCTGTGGGCAATGTGAGTGATGGAGTCGGTAAATCTGAACAGGCGCTGCAATGCTTGGCTCCTCATTTTGCAGAACTGTAGCAGCTCCCTGGCTTGCAGCTGCACTGGAATAAAAAGAAATCCTTCTTGGCTGTAGGGAAGCACGGCTCAGATGTGCTGTGCCCACCTTGCTCCTGCCCCACTGGGTCTGACGCAGAGCAGGTGTGCGCAGGGATTGTAGCACTGCACTGCTGCTTCTAGTCTGTAAGGTGTCAGCAGGAGCTCTTCCTCCCTCCTCTCCCTTTCCTGGCCAGGAGAAGAGGAGACACTGGTACAGAGGCTTCGGTGTTCATGTGGGTGGATGGGCTGACTGCGTTGCATTACTTCCAGAAGCAATGAAACAATGAATAAATTAAAGAGGCTGCCCTGAATTGTCACATAGGTCCTGGAGCCCTCCTGCCTGCCAGGCTGCCAGTACAGAGTCTCCACTGCTGTGCTTACAGGTAAAATTCCGCTGTCCTGCCTCCTCCTGTTCCTCTTATCTCTTATCCTTCCTTAGGCATTAAGGCAGCCACACAGACCACG